CCTTTGGAGAAAGCTTGGTGATCAAGTCATGATTTTGAAGAGCGGTAAACAAAGTTATAAGCGTTTATTCTGCCTTTCCTGTGTGTACTGTACTTCAGGGTCACAAATGGCTGACGAGGGAAGTTTCTTGTCATAAAGCATTCCAGCTAAGAAGGAAGAAGGAAAGATAGACTTGGACCATCAAGCTCTCCGCAGCCCCTAATGACAATGGATGTGGGCCAGGATTGTAAACAGCTGCTAATATCACAAAAAGAGAGAAAAGCAGCCATGATATGATTCCTGACATAACTACATTACGCCAACTATGAGGGAGTTTTGCCCGAAACAAAACAAAACAAATAATAAACCAGAATCTGATCAGACTTCTAGATCTAACAACCTCGTTACAGGAAATACAGGAGATGGAAGAATACATTAAATGACACCAAGCAAAAATCAGACTGAGGAAACTCCACAGGACTGGCAATAAGGCTTCTGCCACAGATCAACTGAATAGAAAAAGGAAAAAAGTGAGGAAAAGGAACCTCTAGGTTGAGACTTAAGGAGACATAGTTTAATCCTGATTCCTACGAATGAGCTATCGTATTTAAAAATTGGAGGCAAAAAAAAATCTATTGTGGTGTGATAAGGAGATCAAACTGTAGAGTTAATAAAACATTCATGGTGTGGGAAAAAGACTTGAGAGTCAGAAGATCTGGCTTTTAGTCCCACTTCTTGGAAAAGTTATTCAACCTCTCCTAGTCTCAGTTCCTTCATCTTTAAACCGGGAGCATTGAGGCTACCTCACAGATTTGCGATGAGGATTAAAGAAACGACATATGTGGAAACCCTCGTGGTGATATCCTGTCACCTGTAAGATGTGTTCCATGACTAAACTGCCACACAAACATACTCCAGAACAAAAGTTCTAAATAAAGGATTTTAACATGGTGCTTCTGGGATCTGTGGCCAAAACCCCTTCCCAAGCCCCTAAAATTAGAGACAGCACTGCTGTATCTGAAAATACCATTGATTCACACTTCCCACCGACAGGGATGGCTCACCTGTATCGCAAACTTTATGCAGCAAGCATTTATCTTCCTCATTCCAGGTGTCTAGGTATTCATCCGGACCACAGGGCAGACAGACGCTTTCAATGGTAGCAGTGCACTTGGAAGACATGTACGTTCCTTAAATGAGAAGGAAAAATGCACCAATCAACAGGATCCAAAAAACCACAACCACTGAAATGCACCCATCTACTGGACCATTTACGTGACCATGATCCCAGGAAGTCCTCCGAAGACAGTGTGCTGCACAAGACAGGGCCACATCTCACAGGGATGGGCTCCTCAGGCTTGGTGGCTGGCTAAAATAGCCTCTCCTGTGTGGTTTAGTTCTTCTAAGTGAAAGATCACCCTTTCTACCCCAAACCTCTGCTGACTGAGGGAAAAACAACAACGGTTTTCAAACTGGTGCCCACAGAACTTGAGAGGTTCCCTGCTGGCTAAGCAACAGGGCCTTCATGTAATCTCCCCTTCCATCTTCAAAGTCCCCCTACCGTCAATCTGGACAGTTAACATTTTCTATCCTGTGTACACAGTGGGCTTATGGCAAACTTAGTTTGACCAGAGAGTCCTACGTGTGCATGTGTACACACGTGAGTACCCAGACACACACACACACACCATGGGATCTTGGTTCTGCACATCCAAGAAATATTTGTAGCTGAAATATCTAAAGGGTCTTGTTATAAAGTAACCACCTTTTCTTTGAAGGTATGCTCCCCTCCCCAGTACAGTGAGTGAGTGAGGACCCCGTGGACATGGGACGTCACTGGGCCTGTAGAAATACTTGGCCACATCCTGGCAGAACAACTTTGAGGAAGTGGTGGTACCCAGTCTACCTTCTGCCCCTGGGCAGGTGTGTGGGAAGAAGGAATAACAAGGTTTAGGCAGCTTCCAACAGCAACAATTCCATCATGGTTATCCCCTCCAAATTTTCTCTGTGAAAACACTTTTAAATCAGAGTTGCATTTCATATGTTGAGAGGTTGACTCACAAAGTGCTAAAATATGCTTTTACAAACCTTCTTGCCTTCTCTGGAAATAATGCTTTGGAAAACGGTGTTCCAGCATAAATAAAGCACCAGTTTCTGACATTACTTTTGATTTTTAAGTGATGTTATCTACAGAGAGAAAGATTTTTGTCTTCAGAGTGGCACACATTACCACCTGCCACCGCCATAAAAAGTCCATTCGTTTCTTTTCTCATCTGGCAGATAGAAATCATTTCCTAGATTAAAAAAATAACACACACACAAAACCCCCAAAGCCCTGCCCACATTTGAGGGACAGTGAGAGGTGGCTCAGAAGTACCCACCTGGTTTGCATTTGGCACAGCACCGTCCAGAACGCTCATAATGCTGCTTGCTGGCACACGGAGGGGTGATCTGAAAGGTCACCTGAAAGAACAGTGACATCAGAGGAAGACTATGCACAAATCATTTCTGAATAAAACTAATCAAATTACACTTTGGGAAAGCATTAAAAAAAAAAAGAAGCCCCTAAACACTCCCGAAGCTGCTTTATGTAATAATACCTACCCACCTAAAATGTCACTTTCTTGTTTTAGCCCATTTCTCCCTGAGAATGTATAAAACCAACTGATATTGGCATAAAAATCCATTTAAACATTTAAAAATATTTCGGGGTGGGGGTGGGTGGGTGGCTCAGTTGGTTAGAGTGTGTGCTCTGAACAAGGTTGCTGGTTCAATTCCCACATGGGCCAGTGAGCTGTGCCCCCCGCAACTAGACTGAAAATGGCGACTGGACTTGGAGCTGATGGGTCCTGGAAAAAACACACTGTTCCCCAATAAAAATTAAAAAAAAAATTTTAAATATTTCAGTTATGCTCATGGCATTAGGATGAACTAAAGCAAGATTTACAAATTGGATGCAGAAGGTTGGACACTGCTTTACACAAGCCACGTACAAAATCGGTCCCACTTCTGTGGGTCACGTGGTGGACAGCGTGCTCAGTCCACTTTGTCTTAAAGCTGTAGGACGTGATGTGTATATTATACCAGAGGATGTCAAACTTGGTTTTAGAAGCAATGTCTGATTTCTAACAGATGTTTAATACTGCTTACCTTCTAAAATTTTAAACATGCACAGAATTTTTAAAAATGGCACAGCAAGGTGTTATAGGAACTACATGGGCTTGGAACTAGGAGTTCGGACCACATGCTGACTAAGGGACCCGGATAAGCTGCTTAAGGTTTTTTTGAGCCTGTTTCCTTTCTGTATGATATTAATACAGATGTTAAGTTCCGAATCTGCCCATCTCAGTAAAACAAAACAAAAAGCCAAGTCCCCTACAGTCACTCAGAGATTCTTATCAGTGTGCCCCAGAAAAGTTCCTTTCCTCATCAGCTTTCTCAGCGTAAGAAAAAAA